CTGCTTTAGCTTCTCTGTAAACCCACCCTGCAGACAGGTAAGTACCTACGTCATCAAGATGGCTTTCAGTGGAAAAGAAATATGGTGAGGGAAACCAGAGCCCAACTGCCTGCCACACAGAAGCTGACTTAGCCTTCCTTTTATTGAGTCTTCAATTTCCCACCGCTCAGCCATCTCATACTGTGCCGAAAAAGTTCTAAGACATATTCCCACAACCCTGGGGAGGTCTGGGGGTAGGAAGGAGGAGTTTTTCTAGGAGTAGTGAATAGGCACTTTATCAAGAAGATCAATCCAAGAGATGTCCTCTCGAGATTTATATACCTATAGATATCATAAAGGTTATTAGTCGGTTTTCCTTCTGATGTCAAAACAGTTTGAGAGGAATTTCTTCCTAGGACAGGAAAAGGATCCAGATACACATTCAAATAATGTTAACTTTGTTGGCATTATCTCAGTCAGCTTTTTTGCTTACTTTTTCCTCTTGATTGCTCTCCACACCCAGAAAAGGAAGAAAAAACAAAACCACTACTGCCTTCAGCTGCCAGGTTCTAATGTTCTAACTGTTCTAATAAACAACCACTTTCTGGCAAAACTTTAATTACAAGGCAGGCGGCGCACAGAGCAGGAAGCACCCAGTCCTCACTCGAGGCCTCGAGCTCGCCCTCACCACACTGAGAAACACCATCACTACGCTAAGGCCCTATGAGAACCTGCATGTAGCCAGGAGGCTCAACATACTTTCCTACTCTGTGGTCACCGTCTAGAAGCTTCAGGGCCAAAACCACAGGGGCAGCTGCGACTTGGGTTTCTAGACTTGCCCGAGTTTTTTTTTTTTTACTTCAAAATTTCCCCTTTGCCCTTCCACAGCGGCTAATCGTGGGAGTGACCTACACAGGTGAAAGTTAAAAACCAGTGTCACTCCGAATGCAAGGCCAGCTCTATAAACGGCTGCCACTTAAACTTTGTACATGACAGGCTTCCTTCTAGGCCTCAGGGAAATGTCTGCCTCTGGAACTCTCCCACTTTTGAAGGCATGGCAACTGTGGCCACGAGTGGCCTTTTTGTCTCGTACTTAGAACACACAGGAATAAAAATACACATCCAACCACATCCTGGCAGGTTAACATCAGCTACACTAGGACCCAAAAAGCCCACTGCTGGGTATTTACCCAGGAGAAATGAAAATATATGTCCATGCAACATTTGTGTAAGAATGCCCATAGCAGCAATATTCATGGTATCCCTACCCAGGAAACCACCCAAATGTCCATCAATAGGAGTGGAGATAAATAAATTGGGGTATGTCCTTACAAGGGAACCCTACTTGGCAATTTTAAAAAATCCAAACTACTGATATGTGCAACATGAGTGAATCTCACCTATTCTATGAAGGAAGAAGGACCAAAAAAAAAAAAAAAAAAAATTAAAAAGCACATAGTATATGATTCCACTTACAGAAAGCGCTAGAATAACTAGTTTACGGTGACACAAGTCAGAACAGTATGGACAGGAGGGAACTTTCTATGGGGAAAGAAATGTTCTATCTTGATTGAAGCAGAGGTGACAAAATTCATGGAACTATACACTTAAAATGTGTGCGTTTGATCATACGTAAGTTACAACTTCACATGAAAAGAGAAAACAAGTAAATGGTGGCTGGGGGATGCGATGGGGCGAAAGGTTTAGCGCATCACTTTCTGGGTTGCTTGATTCTGCAGAGGCCGCATGAACATCTCAAACCCTGAAATGCCACAGCCCCTGGTTCTCAGAACAACAGCCCCTGGTTCTTAGGCTTGAGGCCTCCACTGGGCTGGCCTCCCCTGAGCTGCGCTGGCGACCTAAGGGAGGCAGGCACAGGCTTAGGCACTAGGACCCCACAGGCCTCGAGGGCCAATATGAAGGGCGGTGGGCAGTGCTGCGCATACAGTCAGCCTGGCACCTGGCCGCACCCTTGCCCGGCCTTCCAGCAAAGGCCACTGACAGGAAGACCTGGGGGAGGGGACAGAGGAGCCGGGGCCTCACAGGCTTCGCACAGGTCTGACGTCCACCTGCAGGGAGTGCCCTGCCAATGATGAGGATTCCTCTAAGCTGGGTGAGTTTGTCTAGGCAGAGTGCCTCCCACCCACCCACAGGCCAAGATGGGCCCCAGACCCTCAAAGAAGGTTTTCAACAGCCTGGGTCAAGTAACCGTGTAGCTCTGTTTACCCTGGTAGTCAGTGCCTATTACAAGCACAGCTCCGTGTGCCTAGGGTCGAGTAAGTATGGAAAATCTGTCAGGATCATCATTCTCTGGGCTTGCCTTCTCCACCTGTGTGTGTGTGTATGCATGTGGGTGCACACGTGTAGAGGGAAGGATAGTGACTGTCATCGTTAAAAATACGGATTTGATACACTCTTCCTCTTTCACCCCCCCTTGACAAGACAGGGTCTTGCACATGGGCCTTTCCCACCAAGGCCTGGAATGGCTGCTCTTTCTTACCCCTCACACTCACCTTCAATGCCATTTCTTCAGGGGAACCTTCCTGGAGGTAGACCTCCCAACTTCACCCCCCCTACCCTGCCCCCATCATCTCCTACCACTTTTCTTCACCCTCCTCATGACCGCAGTGACTTGTCTGCTTGCTCACCGTCTGACTTCCCCACCTGCTGTAAGGCTGAGGAAAATGGGGGTTGTGGCCGGTTTGTTCTCCACTATGTAAGGAAACATCTGGCCTGGCACACAGTAGGGCCTCAGTCAGTACTCGCTTAGTGGACAAATTCTGTATCTTCAAGCAAACCAGCCAAAACCAAAACCCCCATGCGTACTTGTGCAAGTTTGCATGTGAAACAGCCCTATAATCCCTGCCTGCTTCTAGAGAAGTCTCCTGGGAGCCAGTCTGAGGCTCTCTGTAATATAAGACATGCATGGCAGTGACAGAGGAGAATGCTGAAAAGCGGCTGTCCCATATCTGATCAAAGTACAAATCTCTGCGGCCAGAAGAGGAGATGTACATCTTATGGAACTGACCAGAAAATGCGGTTCACGAGCCATTTCATTCTCTAAAACACATACTATTACAGGAAGCAGGGGCTGCAGATGCAACCTGGGAAAATGAAAAATGAGCCAGTTAGGAACATAAAACACAGAGGACAGGACATATATGCTGACTTGGCAAGTCATCTAGCACACTGCCCAAGGAGGAAAATGGCCTGTGTGCACAGGCACGTGCATGTAGCTGCGGCCCAGAACCTTGAAGCTCACAGTGAAATCACTTAAAGAAAAAAATAAATAAGATCTGGCACCAGACTGCCACCAGGCCTACAGGAGAGGCCCATGTTATCGCCAGACATAACACAGCCCAGAGAAGAGCTCCCTGCCACACCCCAGTCAAAAATAGTGCCCTCTCTTATTCTCTTGCTTACTTAAAAATCTGTTAAACTGTTGGCCCAGTCATTTTCACGTCCTCCCCTGAGGTCGGCCGTTCTGCCACTGACTGCTGAGGGATGTGGGAGTCCCAGGCCAAGTGAGAAGAGCACCAGCCTCAGCCCCCACTTCCTGTCTGTCAACTGTGACAGTCTCACTGACTCCCCAAGCCACAGTTTCCTGATCATTACTTAGTAAGTACAGCAATTAACAACATAAAGAATCCTATTCTTACACAAGTCATGACGTTTCAGTTGCTTCCTCCTTCACATGAGGGCGGTGATTCTAGTCATTTATTAAACACTTATTATGTGCTAGCTTACATGAATATGGCCTGGCGTTGTAAAAGTAACAACTAATCTTAACAGGTCTCTGAGTGGGGAAAAAAAACATACATGGCTCTGGTTCTGCTTTTTGTGTTAGGAGGTGGGAAATAAGGTTGGGAGAGTGAGAAGCAGGGCCAATTTTAAACTCAATGCCTTTGGCACTTCATGCTGACTCAGCATAGTGTATCAGAATAGGATTTTTGCTGGAAGCAACTGCCAAGGACCTGAGTTCTGCCTGGTGTCTCTCTGATGGCAGCTACTTGCCAAATGTTCAGGGAAGAAAGCGAGGCTGGAGGGTGGAACCCCAGTGCTGAGACCTCTCAGTTCAGAGTGAGTGTTCAGGGGCCCTCTGAGTAAACGGGGTCCCACTCTGGCCTCTGCAGACACAAGAGCCCAGAAGAGAAAAAGGACTGTTTGTTCATTCCCAAGGCTGGGGCTGCTGAGAACGGCATGGGCTGCGGAGGAGCAAGGGAACTGGAGCAGGAAGTTTTGAGCTGCGCCCGCCCCCTCTGGGCCTGTCAGGGAGGTGGTGGGAGCATTCTGGATTGGTGCTCTCCTACCTGATGCTATGTGCGGCAGACCTGGCCTGGCAGCTTTCCCACAAGCCCAGCACTCCCCTTCTCCCACAGCTGCCCAGGATCCGCCTGCCGCTGAGTTGGGGCAAGTCTGCCCCGAGAAAGTACACAGGACCCAGAGAGGCCCCACGGGCATCTGGAGAAACGGCAGACCAAGTGGTGGGAAATGGTGGTCAGCCAAAAGCAGAAACCAAAATTACACAAAGGGAAAAACAGGAAGAGTCCATGAAGCAAAAACGGCAAGTAAAGGTTTTGCATTTAATGCCCAGAGTGGCCTACCTTCGCTCTCCCAGGAGAGAATTCTGTCATCTGGAGCCCAGTGCCCACTGTTTGCCTGGAGTGCACGTGGAGGCCTACAGTCACCAGGGAACTCCAAACAGAGCTGAACCTGTGGGGCCTGGCCCTCCCCTAGCGGGGTCTACAGATGTAGGAGCTCAGGTGTGTCCCCCCAGAGGTGAGGGTCCCTGACCAAAGTGGTGTATGCAGGCCAGGTGAGCAGAAGACCCCAGGACCAGCCCGTGCTGGGCCTTCTGTGAGCAACCTACACTGGGGAGTCCCCCAGAAGCTCCCCAGGCCACGCAGTGTTTGAACCAGCCCGACGCCAGAGAGCAGCCGCCTATTAGGGTGAGCATGCCTGAGAGGGCAGCAGGGGTGAGGCTGAGGGGCTGAGCAGACCGTCTCTCCACCACTACTCACCATGTACGAAGGAAAGATCAGAACTCGTTTGTGCTTGCCGCAAGGCCACTGGGGGTCATCCAGGAGATTTGGGTCATAGTCCATAAAGTCTCCCAGGTCGCTACCTGAGGATCACACACAAAATAATCAATAGGGGCCCTGGACTCCCTGAAGCAGAAGCAGGAGGGCGAACGCCAAGACTAAAGTTAGACTGAAGCAAGGCCGGCCTCAGGTCGTTGAGCGCAGAGTCACCATGCACACTCTGCCCGTCAGGAAACATCCCTACATGCCAGTGAGGGGTATCCCCTGCGCAAGGGGGGGGTCACAAAATACTTAACATTCTGACAGTTTTTCCACTTTAGAAAACTATGTATCACTCCCCCGGACCTGGGAGAGCACAAAACCTCACAGAGCATGAAAGATGAAGCGAGCACTCGGGTTACAAAATGGGGCACCAAGAAGGTGCACTTGCTAAACCTGCAGATCAAACGAGTAACTCAAGTCCTGCCACGTGAGCCGCGTGTTTCTGGTGTGAAGGCTTCCAGGCAGGCTACTGTGTCTGTCCACAGATCAGAGCAGCGCCAGGGCAGACAGCTGTCAATGGCTAGAGCTGGTGGGAACCGAAGGACAGTGCTTCCGAACTCAGCACCCAGACAGGCCTGAGGAATTTCCCCCTTCACCTGGAGTTTCTCTGGAGTTTTCTCCCTTGTTCGCGTCTTACAAAAGTGTGTAGAGGCAAAGCTAGAAGCAAGCAAGCCCTCCTTCACACTCACAGGCCACGAGAATCACAAAAAGTTCTCACACCTGATCCAAATCGGAACACTGGGAAAATATCGGCAAGAAGCACGGTGAGATAAGGAGCTGAGTGGGGGGAGAAGGGGGGGAGAGGGCGGTCCAGCCATTATCTGCACGCCTTGGCATTTGTCCTTGCGGGAGCTTGGGAGTTGGTGGCTAAAACATCTCATTGGTGAGGTCCCCCTGTGGCCTGGCTGTGAACCTGTATGGCCTGAAACTGGGCTTGCCCCAAAGTCACGTGGCCCGTGGGATGGGTTCATGCTCCGTCCAGAGGCACCCGTCCTCCACTCTGCACACAGGGAGACCCAGCCCACACGGCGCACCGAGGCACCCTTCTCCACGCGCTGTCCGGCCCTGGCCCTGCCCAAGGTTACCTGTGTCCAGGCTCCCCTGGGTGCTGCTTGCGCGTCCTATGGAGAGGCTGCGGTGGCTCAGGTTACGGAACTGGGAGAAGGAGGAGGTGGAGTCTATGGTATTTCTCCGGGCTCCGAAGGCATTTGTGGGTAACAGAAATTGGGTGTAAGAAACAGTCTAAAAGGTGAAGACAAAAACGGACAAAATGGATTACTCCCAGGCAACGATAGGTTTGCATTCATATTCTTACATCTGCACTTCTAAAATCCAATGAGATCTGAGATGAAGTTTGTTTTGGTATTTGTGCCAAAACCTAAACTCAACTAATTTGAGGCTACGTATAGTTTTAATTTATTGCACTTTGTGTGAATATTCGTGTCATATGGTAGTTTGAGAACTATCCCAGAAGCACTGGGATGTTGTGTAATACATGAGGCACATACCGCACTGGTTTTTTCTCTTTTTTTGAACACCACACGAGCTTTATACCCCACCAAGTGCAGAATTCCAGAACACGTCAGGCCCCAAGAGTGTCTGATAAGGGGCTGTGGCCTTCTGCATGTTCCATTGGCAGATGTGATCTCTGATGCTTGTCTCTCGCTCACCTCCCTCATTCCTGCGTGAACACTCAACCTTCAGGAATGGACACAGAACAAGTGTTTTTTCTTTCCACCTACTTGGAGAAGCACGGCCCATATACCCCTGCTCGTGGGCTCAGGGCTGATGATGTCCGGGCACAGTGGTGACCAGCTGTTCTGGCAGAGGGGAGGTGGGGAGGTCACTAGCTGCCCCAGCAGCTTCAGCTGGAAGCAAGCTACCCTGAGATGGCGTCCCCAAATACTTGCATCATCTCCATAAACAGGCTTTTGAAGGGTTTACAAAGATTACAAACAGGCTTTTGAAGGGTTTACAAAGATTACCTGGATCCAGCACAAAAAGGTCAAGTTCATCTTTGAACTTTGACCCCTCAGACTTCCACCCAGCTGCTCACTGGATTGCAGATAAGGAGGAATGTAACAGCTCTCCTGCTAGGTGCTCACTAAGGCTGACAGACTCAGTTTCTCAGGACCGTGGGAAGCCTTCCTCCCCCACCCCCCCCAAAACAAACTTTCTAGTAGCGGGAATGTAGCTTGCTGACACCATCGGTTAATGCATGCTCAAACCACTCGATTCCAGAACATGCATGGGTGTGTGGGATACTCGTCAGTATCCGGCATTCCATCATAAATAGCACTGGGGGAGAAATACTATGCTGCTATTTCCTCACTGGCTCAGTGGGTTTCCGAGGGCACGCTAGGGGAGAGGGGACGGGCTGGCCCCAGACCTGGTTCCTCCACCATAAGCAAGGGTCGTGGTCTGTCACGCTGCTTCCAAGTCCTGACCCTGGTGGTGTCGGCAGAGACTTGCCGATTGGAAGCTAGGAAGCCTTACCTTCCCGTCAGCTCCCAGCTCCACACCTTCAAGGCCAATAATCTCTTTCAAGCTCACAGCACCTGTGGACTGCTTCCCTCCATCCAACTTCAAGTCCCTGGGGAGGACAAGCCCAAGGGAAAAAATGCTTTGGTTTGTACTCAAAAGAGCCACGACGATGTTTACTACACAAGACACCACAATCACACTGACGAAAACGAGCACGCAGGCCCTGGCCAACAGGATATCCCTCTGACCCTCCTGGGGGCCCGCTAGCACCACCTTGTTTCATCCACTTTGATATAAACGAAATGCAACCCTGCAGATGAAAGGCAGGCTCAGAAGCTGACGGACAACTGATGATCCTCTATACAAGGCCCCTCAGCTCACAGTCCACTAACAGGAAGTCAGGGAGCATTCCCTGGGCATCACGGGGCAATGGTTGGTTCTCTTAGGCTCTGGCTGCTGGTTTTATTTTAAAGCTGGCAGAGACCACCTCTCCTGGCCGCCCCCTTTATTAAACAAGAGAAATCAATTCTTGTCCTAAACAGTTCCCAGGAGTACTGCTGGTAATGAAGGGATTAATGCCACCACAGTCACCCCAGCCTCCTCGCCAGGGGACCGGGAACACGATCATCTTTCTATAAAAGAACAATCTCCAGTATTATCAGGCATTTACACAGCACTTCACAATTCACAAAGACTTCTATGCATCATCTCTGGCATCCCTTAACATGATCCTATCAGACAGGTATTGCTATTATTATCTTATTTCACAGAGGAAAAGCCCACAGGCGGCTAAGTGGCTTGCCAAGGTCACCAGGATAGTAGGCTGTAGAGACTGGTTTTGTATCCAGGGCTGTATCTAGCACCTCAGGTTGCCTGAGAGACGCAAGACTGAGCTGGCTGTGGTTACGCTCAGGTGTAACTGCTCACATTGTCAAAGATAATCCCCCTCCTTGCAGTGGTCCTCGGGCTTGGATGCTGATTAGAATCACCTGGGGATCTCTGACAAACTACCGCAGCCTGAACCCCACCCGCAGACATTCTGTTTCAGTTGGTATGGGGTGCAACCTGGGTGTCAGTTTTAAACACTTGCCAGGGGATTCTAAAATGCAGCCATGTTTGGGAAGGACTGTCTTCCAGTTTCTGGCTCTAGGATGTGGTACTTGTTAGTCAAAAGTCATCTCAGGCTCGGCAGTGTTCTCGCTGTGTGGCCTGGAGAGAGGCACCACATTCAGGGGCTGGCTCCCACAACCTAAGCGAGAACAAGCAAAATGTAAAGGCAAGCCTCTCCAGGCCGAAGATAAAGAATTCAAGGAAAAAGAGAGGGAGCCGGGTGAGTGAGGGAAGAGACAAGGAACCTCCCTTTCTGGGAAGGAAAACAGGGCTTCTCTGATTTAGTTGAGCAATCACTGGCTGGCTCTGTAAGCCTACCTCTAATGCAGAAGTGTGATTAATAACAGTTTTAAAAGAAATAGCCAAGGGGCACCTGGGTGGCTCAGTCGGTTAGGCATCTGATTTTCAGCTCAGGTCATGATCTCGGGGTCCTGGGATCAAGCCCCGAGTGGGCTTCGCGCTCAGTGGAGAGTCTGCTTGTCCCTCTCCTTCTGCCCCTCCCCACTGCTTGCGCATGCTCTCACTCTCAAATATTAAAAATAAAAAAGGGAATAGCCAAAATTTGCATCCAGTAAGTACTGCATTTTTTAAAGGTAGTCTCCTTAGGATGCCATGGTATTGCTATGCTCAAAACTTTCTGGAGCCCCTCTGGGAATCAACACTAAAGTCACGCAAAAAAAGCAAATAACCAACCCATTCCAGTCTGCAAACTTTGCATTTATACATATTTTTGCTCTGAACACTATCACTTGAATCAGTGCTCCCCCCCTGCCCCGCCTACTGACTGGACTGTAAATGAGTGTAAATGACTTCAAGTAATTCCAGGCATCAAGCTCACCCCCTAGGGATGGTGCAGAACAGTAACTCATAGAGCCGTAAACACTGTTAGAAGGTGCGAACCCATCCAGAGCTCCAAGCATATTCTGAGCAATGAGAGTACTTTCAGGATGTGCCTCCTCTGCGGGGGACTGTGAGGTCCAGGATGATTGAAGTCACGTCACTTTATAAACGTGCCCTGTGAACAGAGACCTGCATTCCAGGTATGGATCTTAAATGTGCAGCTGGAAGGACCACGCAAGCAGGAGGGGAGCCGAGCGGGGCTCAGCAAGGCCACCAGAATCCAGGGATGGCACATGCCAGAGACCACCCACCCTGCTGCCCTGCCTCCTGAGGGAGCCGTCCGGGCTGCCGGCCCTCACAAAGGGAAATGCCAACAGAGCAAGAACCTGAACCAGGCAACGAGGCAAAAGTAGCCGTGAAGGGCAAGGAGAAAGGGGACGGCCGTGGCAGCCCAGGAGGGGAGCAGGTACAAAGAGCGCAGTGCCTTGCATTTCATGAAAGGCTCTCCGGCTCGCTTCCGGGACATCCTCCTTGCCCGAAGTGCACCCCGGCAAGCACGTGCCTCAAATTCCCAACTCCCAAACAACTGTCTCCTTGTTTCCATTTTGCCAGACAGAAAATGTTATTTAGGGCTGAAACTAATTTAAAAGCAGGGCCCATCTTCATGAGGTAAGGAAACCCAAACAAATAAGGATATTAAAATATGCCCATTTTAAGAGTGCTCCTGAATGGAGACTTGGCTGCAGGCAGGGACAGAGGCTCATTCCATGTTTGTGTCCAGATATACAGGATGTCTGATGTGTAGTATTTACTTAAAGGAGCCAGGCAGCCTGGCTCTTTGCTGTCTCATCAGTGCTGGTTCCTTAGCTAAGTGCTCTGCTGAAGGCTCATATTAACACGAGCCACACGAAAATGCTGTTATTTGCCCATTTTGACCTACGTATGCAGTGATTTCACATGGCACCACCTGATTTACAGATAGGGTGTAGGACTACTACAGATAGGACTTACCCGTGAGTGAAAAGCAAGCAAGAGACCTATGGCCCCGGACGCCCCCCTTTGAGGGGAACTGTGAATGGTGCAGCTGCTTCACCCAGAAAACAGCTTTTAAAAACTCCAATGAAGGGACGCCTGGGTGGCTCAGTCAGTTAGGCGTCTGCCTTTGGCTCAGGTCATGATCCCAGGGTCCTGGGATCGAGCCCCACATTGGGCTCCTTGCTTCTCCCTCTGCCTGCCTCTGTCTCTCTCTCTCTCTGATAAATAAATAAAATCTTAAAAATCAAAACTCCAGTGAAAAAGGATTAAGCAGAAGTCCCCGGGGAGTAGTGATAAAATCTTGATGTTTTCTAACATCATTATTCTGAATTCTCATTAAAATGGTGTATGAAAACAAGAAATATCGGTTTGGCTCAAAAGCCGGCATTAACCCTCCAGGAGCAGGAGCGAGCTGGGGAACACAGAGCTGCAGCTGTAAGTAACTGAAAGCAGACTGAAGTCGGACTTTCCAGTTTCTTTGAAAAGCCTAGGAGATTATTTTTCCCAGATACATGTAGAGTCCAAATATTAATTTATTTATGTTCCACCTCCTTCTAAAAATGGCATGGAGGCAAGTTCAAATACCAGATGTGAGTACTGGCCAAAACCGCGTGCATTACGGTTTACATGCTGTAGCTTGCACTCACAGACGAACGTGGCTAGGCAGGTCCTAGGGAAGGATCTCATTTGGACCGATGCACTAACAGAACCAGGGGTCAGGAACCATGGACAATGCAAGGGTCTGTTTTCTTCTCTTCCGCAGGCCCGGTGACGCTATAGCTCAGACCTACTTAGCTGCAAGAGCTCATTTCTCATCTATTCAAGTTTCTTTTGCAGAGGCTGTAAGCAACAGACACACTTTGAAAACCCAGCACAAAGGTTTTCTTACAAAGTCTGGCCAGTGGGGATGGGGATGGATGGGAGATGGTTTAAGGGGGGACGGGGTAGGGGCTTATAGAAGATGGGGGAGGTGGTGAAAACAGAAGATGAAAATGCATTTGGGGAGACAGCCATATACCCTTAAGCAAGGGGCAGAAATAGAGGTTCTTTGTGGAGCGAAACCCTATTCTTCATAGGATGGCCCTGCAGTTCATTGAATGTAGCTCTCCTTGAAAGCCTGTGACTTGGTGGTTGGAAACCCCCTGGACGCGTCTTAGTTTCGGCTCCCACGGCAAAGAGCAAATCCACACGATTTTGCAGTTGTGGAATCATCTGGTCAGAGCAGATGGCCAATCTAGATATCCTGGTGCCCAAAGGGGATTACCTAGGTCACTGTAACCACACTACGGCCACTCCTGATTTCATCCAGTGTAACGGGCAAAATGATCTTTACCTTTTCTGATGCTCAAGGAGCCATAATGCATGGAACTGATCAAACAAGATTCCCTATTAAATAACAAGAAGTTTCGGGGCGCCTGGGTGGCTCAGTCAGTTGTCTGCCTTTGGCTCAGGTCATGATCCTGGGGTCCTGGGATGGAGTCCCGCATGGGGCTCCCTGCTCCACGGGGAGCCTGCCTCTCCCTCTGCCCCTCCTCCCCTGCTTGTGCGTGCTTGCACACAGCGCGTGCTCGCTCTCTCTCGCTCTCTCTGACAAAATCTTTAAAAAAGAAAAAAAATTAAATAAGTTTAAGGTAAGGCCTTTCCCTTAAGGAGCATATGATTAGTGAACCAATGTTACTCCTAATAAAAAAATGATTTAAATACTTAACACCTGGAAAGTAGATGGAACTGTGTGAGTAATCCAATTAACTAGTTTCCAGGGCTTTCAGCCTCCAAGATGGCCTGACTGCCACTTGTGATCATTTAATGGTGCTCTAAACTTGAGACCTTGGAATGCCAAACAGAAGCATCACTGGGCACTTGCTCGTTAAGGGACAACAATAGTTTGAACACTGTGATGCATAAACAATTTAAAAGCCAGTTAAATATTAGGATTTCCAGACCTTTCAGAAAAAAAAAAAATTTGCTGCAGAGAGCAAAGCTTGAAAGCTGATTAGGAAATACCACTTGTGAGCTAGTTTTAATTAAGAGATTATGCATCAACTGGAACTCAGTGATACAAGCATTTATCATAGTTTAGGAAGTCCTATTTCTTGCCTCTTCAGATACAAATACAGCTGCCAT